CGTCGACTATAATGATAGTTAGTGTAGCCAGCACAGGGAATTGAGCATGACAGACCACTCTGATCAAACGCATTGGCAGCGTTGTTGTGCAGATTGTAGGCTATCGTAGGGTCCTCGAGCCCCATGAGTTTACCGATTCTCTTGATCCAGGCCCCCATCATGCTGTAAGATATGCGTTCGTTATGGGATATCTGATAGCCCGTCAACGTCTCGACAGCTCGACGAAAAATGAAGGTCTGGTCAAGGTCCTCCCTTAATGGTAAGGGAAGCTCTCGCTCAGCAGGATGTATGTCAAGGCTTTGAAGATGATGCGGCGAAGGTGGACTTGATGCACGAAAAGCTCGGTGACGGAAAATGATGCCCAATAGGAAAACGTGGGGGCTGAAGAGCAAGGACGGATCAAACATGGTTTCGGGGATCGTGAATGTTTTCCTGAGACATTAGCTAACCGCGGCGCTTGCACTAGAATAGCAGCGTACCCACTGTTCCTTTCGCCGAGGTAGGTTTTGGTGAATTCAGGAGTGAACCGTAGAAGAAGCTTATGTGGCCCGCCTTCTGGGTCCCTTGCCAAAGCGACCCGAATGTCCTTGAATCGTAGGTTGAGCGTCGCCGTTGGCCGAGGACCAGCAGGGGTTAGTAGGAGGAGAAAGAGTACGGCAAGGATGCGCATTTCCTCGAGTTTGAAGGACTTCTTTGTCGTACTAAGCGTGGTCTCATTCTGCTGCATCAGGTCTTCCATCACCATACAGCGATTGGCTCGCCGCTGATCGTCTAGACCGTGCCTCTTCGATAGACGTCGTAAGACCTAGATTGGTCAGTTGTAGGACTGGCTTAGGTCCGGGAGAGATAACTTCCCTATGCATGCTTCGATTCAACTTTGGATCAATCTTGTCGCCCACAGCTCTCTCGAACACGAGTCGAAAGACCTTCCAGTATGTGCCCAGCGAGCTTTTCTTCTTGATTCCACGTTTGTTCCTGCCGTCCTTACCGACCTTCTGGTTGAGGAACCAATCGAAGAAGGTATGCACGATGCGGGTGGAGATGGTCTCGTAACACTGTTGAACGTCGCGCTTGATGACAGCGCAGAATCTGTACGTAAATAAAGAGACGGCTTGCCTGCCTTCGGAAATGGCGGTTCTGACATGCCATTTTCGGCACCTGCCACATCGGGTAATTCTCAGCCACACCAGCCCTCGCCGTTTTTGCAAGCCCATAAAGGAGCGCCTGCCCCGCCCAACTCGTCGACATACCTCGAAGTTCCCTTTGTATCTCTTCTTCCTCGCTGCATTTGTTTGCGCCACTTAGCTCTCTCATCGGCCCCATCCACATACGCCTTCCACCTCGATCCTCACACAATCTTGGCCTTTCTTCAACTCTTGTCCTTCACGACGGCCTAAGCAACAAACCTAGGTTTCTGCCAAAGCCAACTGAAGCTGGCTGAAGGTAGACCCACGTCGGTGCTTCCAATTGCCTGCAGCGGTTGTGCCGATGTCAGGTGCAGCACGCCCTATCCAGTAGGCTTTGCTCTGTTCTGCTGCAATAGTGTTGCTAATTCCTTCAGTGTATAGCCGCTTCTAGCAATTTCGTCACCCCTCGTCCGGTATCTTGCGTCTACTCTTCTCGTTGATTACCGACATCGAATATCAAAAACGCCTAGCGAAGCGCCCAGCGGGCCCATTACCCATCCTCGTGGGCCCCCCACCCATCCAGCCATGTCTGCCTCGCCTTGCCGTCAGACCCAAAATTGCCTCTTCTGGAAATTTGGGAGATGAACGGCAATCACGGAAGGCGCTGTGAGATCATACGACCGTGAATGATGGTCCGAGACGTCGCACCACTTTGATGTGCTGTGTCAGGCATCATAACGAGCGCTCGGGGGGAGGCCCTTGGTCTCAGCCCTTCCTCTGGCGAGGGGAGGCAGGTGTTGATTACGAATTATCATATTTGGGAACTAACAATCCTTCCACCTCATCAGCGGTTGGAGCATCGGCAGCAGTGGAGAGAAACTCAGCGCATGCCGCGGAAACTGGTTTTCAGCTTGCCTGCGAGCCAAGAGAGGGCGATGTCTACCTCACCGGGGGTTTCCTGCGCTTCAGGACGCATTGGTCAGGAATTATGATGGCTGGCGCCAACAAAATTGCCTTGTTGGGCAGTTCACGTCTCGACTGCAGCCTAGACTTGTCGCCCGCCTCCAGCAAGATGACAGCGACAGGAACGGCCTCGTATATCCGAGATGAAGCACGCCAAACGCTCTGCCGTTGAACGATAGCCTGCGGAATGTTTAGCCAAGGTGGGGCTCTTGGGAACGGCCGTGAACAGTCGCGGAGGTCTCCATGATACCGCAATCTCCCAGGGGACGGCGCCACAAACACAGCGGCACTCTTGCAAGAGGAGGGGCGAGAGCTCGCCGACGATGACATTTCCGAATTGGGATGATCTTGTGCTATAGGCAGAACAGCCATGCCTTGAAGCTCGTCGTCTCCGTGCCCGTGTCCAGGAGCAGGAAAGATGGATGGCCGGACTTCATCCAAAGGTTCCAGTTAAGCCGGCTCCTTGGCTCAACGAAATTGCCTGAAGAGGCAATTCTCGTCTCAACATGCCAGGCATCCGGCTCTGCCTGATCTCGGCTCTCGACAGAACGGCTCTAGCACTGGTTGCATTGCATATACGAGACGGTGGGCGCCAGGAAGCTCGAGGACATCCCGAAGCGCTGGCGCAATAATCCTTAAGGTCATTCGACTACGAGCCCTGTCTCATGTTCCAACAGAATGAGCCTATTGCACAGCTTGTTTGGCACCATGCGCGACGCATCGTGCAATTAGCCCGGACAGTAAAGGGGCAGATGACCTTCTCACCCATGCTTAGGCATGGGTGATTGCGCCGGTTGGAAGGTTCACCGGGCTCGACGGAGGGTCGAGTTCAGCTGGACAGGCCTCTTTCGGCGCAATTCCAAGGCCGAACGCCCGCGTCAGTGAATGGGTGTAGATTTTGGACTGGCAACTATGATCCATGCC